CGGTGGTAGAAGTTAGAATTCACTAGTCATTGAATCGGGTTCCAGTGGCTGAATTATATACGAGTGGGTGCGTACTGCCGATGATTCCCAAAATAGGATGAAATAGCTGTCCAGCACTCCATGGTTTTCAATGGTTCTCTAACTGACATCAATCCGTGATCAACTCGTAAAAACAAATCTAATCCTTACAAACTTTAGAAAATTTCTTATTATTTTATCCAATGCATTCGATTATAAAACAGTAATAAATAAAAATGCTTGACTATTTAGAAAAGGAAATTGAAATATAGTCGTTTTCTACTAGTCTTGCTACTTCCACCAGGTAGGCGAAAATTATGTATTCTGCCTTTCAAGGTAACAAAGAAGATATTTTAATCAAGAAAATGTTTTTATGACGGTGAAAAAGGAAGCAATTGCCCGAAAAATGCAAACATTAACTTCTGACTACTGTGTGCTATAAAACAAGATTAGTATCTGCCGAAAAGTAGGTGAACAATTTGTCATACTGAGTTTCCCTATCTTATAATAACGAATAGTCAAGGCACATTGTGCTGTGAAAAGTCCCAGGATTGACGAGGTATAGTAATTGCGAATCTGACAACAAAGTACAATGCGCATCGATACTGGACAACCGAAAATAAAAATAAGAAATAACATATCACAGCAAGAAGTGATAGCCCGCAAAGTTTGAGAAGTGATAAAAACATACTAATAGCTAAACTAGTGTACAGGATCAAATTTCGTAACAGTTCTTATATAGCCTTCAACGCTTTCCTCCTTATCTGCTTGAGACACCCTTCATTTAAGGAAAGGATGATTTTGTAATTAAGCGGTGAAGTATACTGAAAAATCTTGTATTTTGACAGGTTCAAGTACCCCTATAGGTATGGGAAATCAGCTCGCGAAAACACAATCCTACCGTATCAACCGGGTCACTTAATTTTCTAATCTTTAGGCCATCTAACTGAAGCGAATTTCCATTACTTTGTAAGTGGAATATATTTCCTAGTGTGATTAATTTAATTCGCCTTGGTTTATAAGAATTATCCATGCCGCAGCCATCATTCAACCTCCACCCATTGCAGAAATCTCACTGTTTATTTTCTTTTAAAACAACTACGGTTATTTATATCCAACTTAATTCCATCTACACACAACCTATCCTCTCAGACAAATTCTGCGATACAACCTAAATCTATTTTTAGTGCAAAGTGATAATTCAGGCTGAAATTAGCCACACTTTTTGGATAAGGCCTAAATTCTGTCCATCGTATTTTTTTGTTCTCACAACAAAGCTCCTTATAGTGGTATCGATGAGATGATTTCTAAATAAAACAAATCGTGAAGCGGTTAGTTGCCTTTCCAAAGATTGTTGATAGAAATATAATCCTAATATATATTCACATCCAGTGTAAATATATCAGCCGGTTTACCATAAGTTTTGTTCAAGCTACAATATCCTATCGTAAATTTGAGTACCTCTTCACAAATAAGAAAAGTATAGCAAAGATCAAAGTAAATGAATTGAGTTTTGATGTCTACAATAAGTCAAATTTGTTCAGGTCGACTAAGTTACAATCTTATTCGATGACCTTTACTATTCAAAGATACTGTATTTTTACCAAAAGATGTGATTCACTAGAGCACTTAGCTGTTTGATCTGTCGACCATAAATTGTGTGAGCAAAAAATGAGGTCATATCATGGGATATGTCAGTAACTGATACTTCCGATATTTTCGTTTCTTCAATGTCTTTATCTTAAGTTACAAAGATTTAAGGTCACTCTTGGAATAACTCCATTTAATGTGCATAAATGCAATTTCCTTGAATAACAGACAGCATAAATAAGCACACCGTTTAATGAATAGATTTCCCGAAAAAGCGTGTTATTCATAATGTAAGACGTCATATTCGGTGGCACATAGGTAGAATGCTCGCTGACCACGCAGGTGGTCTAGTGTTCGATCTCCGGCCGACGCACTCCTTCACCTTGCTATACCAGTAATAACACTGGTAAAGAGAGAAGGTTGGGCATGAGGCTAGCAACCCCATCCCGTAAAAAATAAACACCACTGCTACAGAAACTTCAAGTCTCTAGCTTGAAGCCCTACGTTCCACTGGGAACGCAAATGAATAAAATAAAAAAAAGACGTCATTTATTGTTCGGTATCATGACGAAACGATGCCAACACTTTATAACTCACTTTTTAGACCATGACAGTTTAAACCAACGTGTATATGTATTGTGGTTTCTTCAGTGAAATTAATGACAGTATATTTGTTGCCATTGAAGTCATTGTAAAATGGTAAACAGAATTTGATTTCAGTTGTTAGATTTCTTCACTAACCAACACCAGTTAGACAGACCTCTGAAAACCAGAGAGCTTTGGGTAGCTATTTCGTCCTGTTTTGAGACTCGGTGCAAACCCATGACCCCGTCAGGGATTGAACTCGGAACCTTCAGGTAACGGGCTTACCCACCTGAGCTGAAATTCAACGATCCATGAATTCTAGCTTTATCAATTCCTGATATAGTGCCACCCTCATCAGTGCTTCAATGGGCATCCACTTCACCTTCACAGGGCGGACCCCATTGGTCACGACTTCTCACTAACGCCTCGGGACATCCATCCAGTACCCATCAATGCGCTGGTGATTGATGTTCAGATTATGTGGCTTTGCAAGATTTGGATTAATATCAGCTGTTAGAGTTTTTCACGAACCAACATCCCGCAATCTGAGTATAATTTATCCTGATACATATCCCATCAGTCCTCGTCGCTTTTGTTCCTTATTCTATGTATTCAGTTGTTCTGCACAAGTTTCTCTGTTCTTCATTGTTACAAACCTTCATAGGAAATTTGAATTTTATTTACTTCTTGTGGTATGACGATTTCGTCATTTTAAAGCCTCATTTTCACTGTATTCACTGCTTGACTTTGCATTATGCTCACACTGTTAAAATTGATTCACTTATTTTTACAGCACACTAATCATTCACCCTTTTCAATTCACAACTCAAAATTGGGCTCTGTCAATGTTTGTAAAAAGAAGAGGGGACCGTGAATAAAATACTCTCATGTAAAAGTAATATTTGTATAAATCTCAACAAAATAGGGACAAATAACTCGAAAATTTCATTTGGGGGACTGGTGTGAACTTCCTCAAAGAAAGTGTAAGGTGCTGGTAGTGCTGTTGATACGCTACACTTTGTCAGCCGTTATTAAACATAATTTACTTAGCTGCCTAATAAATCAGTACTCTATCTAACCTGTAAGTAATGACGACAAAACGCAAATTAAAAAGACTCAATTAATTGGAAATGTGGTCTGGTGAGCAGTAAATTTAAATAAAACTAAAGGTCAAGGTTATACAAGCAATAAGACTTAGAACTTATCTAAAACAATATGACTGTACTACAAACTCAAGGAATGTGCCTCTTGACAGCACAACGAAAAAGCGGAAAATGGCGTTGGAGCCTGTCTGAACGTGTACAAGTTCAAACAAAGTCTTAAAATATTGGAAATTGTACTACAATATAATTAAATTCGGACCAGTTTTGCGGAGGAAACTCTGAAAGGTTTTACTTAAATTTTTGCAAAAATTATATTTGTATAAATCTCAGCGAAATTGAAATGAGTAATTCCAAAGTTTCGTTCGGCAATCTGGTTCGAACTTCTTCAGGGAAATTAATCGAAACTAACATAACAGAGATTTATATATAAAAAGGACATCTCTTGCTTTTGAAAAGCTCTGTCCAATCATATGAGTAACGAAACAGTCATCAAAATATAATAAACAAAATTGTATGAGCTGTGATCAACATTTGACCTCAGACTTACAAATATTAATCTAAATAGTGTACTTTTCATCACAATTTTAGTGATTACGTTCGACTAAAAGTTCATGGTCGTAGATAACTGAATATGAAAATATATGTGTAAATGCAGTATACAATAGTGTGTGCATGTGTGTATGGGTAAACACTTGTAAATCATATGTTAGCCTCTCCATAAGAAGATATACACAATCGGGAATTTAGACCAAGAATTATCGATTAGAGATACATATCCATTTTTATTTATTAATCAGAAATTGCCATGAATCAGCTAACATCATCCATATATGTAAAGCTTCTGCAGTCAGTCCTTCTTTATGCGAACCTTTCTGTAGAATCATAGTCGTATCAAAGTCGATTATGTGTCCCGTTTCTATCGAATGCAGTGCAATCGCTGATCTGTTTTCTAGCTTCTTTAAGTCTGCAGAGGTCTTTGGAACCACCTTTAGACATTGTTTATGCTCTTTCACTCTTATATTTACCTGTCTGGAAGTTTCTCCTATATACACGGCGTCACAGTCCCCACAACTGATCTGGTACGCACAATTCTGTTGGTTTTCTTCTTCTATTTTATCCTTAACCTTCACCTGTGATGAGCGTAAGGTGTTAGTTGCATGAAACTACACTCTTATGTTATGATCGTTAAGGATTCGCTTTATCTCATCCGATGTTTCCTTGTGATAAGGAAACACAGCTGTACTAACCCAATTCTTAGCAACAGATTTCGATCTATCCTTATCTTCACATTTTAAATATCTTTCTATAAAGGCTTTGGGATAATTATTTGATTCAAGAGTGGACTGAACCAATTTTAGTTCCCTGCTAATCTCTTCCTCTTCAGTTACTAGACGTTTGGCTCTGTTAATCAGGTTCTTGCCCACAGATGTATATTTTTCAGTCTGTGCCCAATATTTATGAAAATATTCGGTCAAGTCTTGATCAGAGTTCATATAAAGCAAAGACACCATTTCAAATTCATTGGTCGATTCAAGGCACTAGAGGTTGTTACAAGTATATATATATATACATATATATATATATTTCCATCCAACATAATGCACCAGTCTTTTTCAATTTCTTTTTCTAATAATCCACCGGTGTCGTTGGATTGCAACATCTACTGATGCACATTACGGAAAACGCTTAATGCACTGCTACCAGCTTCTCTGTGAGAATAAAAGGGAGTGGATCGTAATTCAGACTGTATCCACCGTTGTATCATAGATTACTCTTTGCCTGAAGAATTTAAACAATGTATAAATATTTTTAGATAAGATACTCTTATAATTCTGTATTCTGTATAAATGTATTATCTGTTTGTATTAGTTTAACACTTGTAGAGACGATACAATATAAACCTTAATGGTAACAGGATTTATGTGTTAGTAATCGGAAAGATAACTGTATACCTGAGTATGGTTTTAGAAGCATTGCTTGACTATGTAGAAAACATATGAAAGTGATTCAGAAGCGATTTTGTTTGGTATGATATTCCTGTTGTAAAACAATTTGGCTTGTTAACCAAGTAGTAGTAGCATGAAATAATACTTCGGTCTTAAAATATTCTCCCGAACTTATGTTATTTTGACAAATTAACACCATTCGCAAAACTTGACATAATAAGATAAAGTGTCTCAACGTTCGCTCTATGGTTGACTGACTTATTGATACACGACAGTAAGGATAACTGTAGAAGATAATGTGAATAACAGACTTTAATCATATGAAAGTTTTATCAGAACTCTTATATGCAATAACATGAGGAATAAAAAGCTACTCCTACTAGCTGCCAGTTCCATTGAAGTAGTTGACTCCGCTTGTATCCATTGCCGACCTCTTAAAAAGGTAGATCGTGCTAAGCGCTCTAAAATGTAACCAGTCTTTCAAAACAAAACATCAGTGCTTTTAAGTCTGACCATGAACTGATATCAGTTAGAGAACCGATGAAAAAAAAGAGAGTACTGGAAAGCTGTTTCGTTCCAGTTCGAGACTCATCGGCAGTTAGCAGCCATTTGGTCTCAAACCCAGGACCTTCTGGCTACAAGGTAAGCTCTCAGATCATGCTGCCACTGCGACCCAACTCTATGAATCGATGATTTTGATTTCACTTACGGATAATTGTCCTCGCTGCCAACTGGACGTACCCCACTGACCACGACTTCTCTCTAGAACTCCAGGCAAATTCGTCTCACAGCCAGTCGCTAGCAAACATCAGATTAATTTTCAAGACTTTGTTGACCTTTTTACTGGAAGGTCCCGGATTAGAATCCCGGAAGGTCCCTACCACTGTAGAGTCTCAAATTAAGACGAAAGAGCCGTCCAGTACTCCCTGGCTTTCAATGGTCCTTCTTTAACTAATATCAACCCGTAGTCAAAGCTGGAACAAATCAAAAACTTACAAATAAACTCTTAAAAATTATTGTTTTCTTCAAATTCAGTCCACATAATTTATGATTCCGATATTGCACATCAGTCCTTGACATTTCTTCTTGATTCATCTTAATTTAAAGATAAATATCTTTTTGGCCAATATTTTAAATATATTCAGTGAACTATTAGTATTAATTAAAATGATTCATTTTCACCACTATTATTAATTTATCAAACTTTAAATTAAAGAAGATTTATCAAGGACTGGTAGTGAAAAACCATCAACAATCTACAGATAAAGTAATCCCTATCACTAGAATCACACTGAAAAGAATATTCTTCGGAAATATAAAGATTTAATTAGTTCTCCGTGCTTCCTGTTCTCTAAACTTTACTCTTTTAATACAGAGCCAAGGTACTGAAAGGAAAATTATCATATTTTGTTGCTTCAAGGACTTTTTGTATTGGTAGCTTCGATGTATTTGTAACTAAATTTTTCCCTGAAACAGGTTTATATTCGAAAACAAATCAAACATTTCCTGCCCCTGCTGAATGCACCTAGTAAAGTAAACCCTTTTAGGCTCATTAGGTATCAGTTAGATTGAAACCTCATACTGCAATGAAAAATTTCCGTAAATCTATATGTGTAGTAATTTTTAAGGACGTTAATTTATCCGAGATGTTATTCAGTATTGAAATTATTACGGTTTTCCTGTTGACTTAACCTTTGAAGAAGAACAATTCAGCTTGATAAACACTTTAATAAAGGTTAACAGGTTATTGTCAAATAGTCTAATGAGTAAACAAAATGATTTATTGACTGACAAAACCTGTTGAAAATTTGTTAACTTATAGAAGGAAATAACTAAACATAGTCACACTATCTGTTAGCAATAATTTCAGAAATTGGTTACAGGATTTTCATCATGAGCTGACATTAGTTAGAGAACCATTGGAAAACCTGGGAGTACTGGATAGTGTTTCGTCCTAGTTTGGGACTCTTCATCAGTACGCACCCACCGGGATTCGAACCCAGGACCTTCTGGTTACAAGGCGAGCTCGTATACCATTAAGCCACTGGGACCCGATTCAATGGCCCATGGATTCTAACTTCTGTGTGCGTACTGCTGAAGAGTCCCAAACTAGGACGAAACAGATGTCCAGTACTCCCAGGTTTTCCAATGTTCCTCTAACTAATGTCAGCTCATGATGAAAATCCTGTAACCAATCAAATCCCTACAAACCAACACTTGAATTTCAGAAATTATCTAAATTCCTAACTTCTCGATGTAATATCTCGATATTTAGAAGGTAATTTCTTTTAATTTTTTTATTTATCTTCCTATCTTCATTTTACGACTAAGCTACTTTTAAATAAGAACCATAGAAATCTATAAGGTTTGTTCTAGCCTATCCTCCTTTCCCACATTGTCATCATATCATTTAATGTATATATATATATATGTCTGTGTAAATTACAAGTTTTTATATTCTCATCTATGTTTAAACAATGTTCACTCGTAGCAAAACCTCAGCTACACACGAGAAAACATAGATTATCACACGCATTCCAATCAATTAGCTAAAGTTACTTCACACTGAAAGTTGCTTGATTCACACACATTTATTTCATTCAAACAAGACTGTTGCAGTATTAAGACCCACAAATCAGTGAAGAAATTAGTTTCACATTAGTCAGAAAAAATATCGCAAATTGAAATTAACCATAAAGTTTACCTGTTTAAAAGATAGTTGGACAGATGTTGGTTCCAGCTCATCTTTTAGTTTTATTTTCTATTGCACTGGTCACAATCTTAAACCAACCGTTTGTTTTTAATTTGTGGATGGTCACTAGCAGTGGAATCCAGGATGCGCATTTCGTCCTATTTGGGACTCGTCAGGTGGCTCTCGTGGCCTAAGTGGTCTAGTGGATAACGCTTTGGCGTTTGAAACTAAGGGCACTGGGTTCCAGCCTCGGTGGGAACATCATCACTCACTGGGAAATGCGGGTACATCCAGCTAACGAGTCCCAAATAGGACGAAATGCGCATCCTGGATTCCACTGCTAGTCACCATCCACCAATTCAATACTAATTAAATGCCCAGCCATGGTCGAAGCATATGCACAAGAATCAGACATGTCAACCTGAGACCGAGGACTTCGGTCCAATCAATCGACAGGAAATTCTCAAATTCAATTAACCGTTTGTTTGTTTGTTTTTCTGATTTTAATAAAATTATTAGAATGCGGTGGACATTTATGAAGTCACAGATTAAAAGCATTAAATTTAAGTTGGCCTGATGATTAAATCTGTAATTAGCACCATCCACAGTAATAAGCACTTTTACGAAGATGATTGAGGTAAGCACAGTGGTTGATTTATCCTGATATTTACAATAGAAAATCGTCTTAACTGACCCTGTCTATCTGATTATTTTCATGCCTTTGCTTTCCGAGTGGAATATGTGGCTTTATGCGGTGAATTTTCTGTAGAAATTAGGTTGCTTTTACCGCGTGAGGTTTCTTTTCTCCCGTCAAATTCCCCTACTTTTCTAGTTCTGCTCCCAGCTAATAAACTAGGCGAAGCTTATGAGTAAGGCGAGCGGAGATAAAGCCTCAATCTCTTTCATAGCTCTCAACCATCCTACCGCATTAAATAAAAATGGTATTACTTTCATAATGATGACCTTTCTCATATGGATAGTTTAACTGCAAAGACTTTATTGTTCTTCCAGATAACATCTTCCGAAATTTCAGAATTTTCTTCTGTGAGTGAAACAAACGTCACATCAAATGACCTTGTGGTAATTGTTTGTCTTCGCAGGATTTTTCATCTTTGTGTTCGGTTCCATTGGTATTTACCGTTTTTAGACCTCATATTTGACGTTACAGACATGTGACTTGTTCTCTGTTAGTAGATAAATTTGATGTGAATGAACATGTCTGATAAGTGCAGATGGACCCCAGTACCAGGCTTCGGCAGTTCTAGGATTTCCCATATCTAAAACTTTCATGTTTTCCAGTTAAATCTGTTGTCTATAGTTGTCAAGATACCTCGATAAAAATGAATGTCTTGTTCTTTTGTTGCTAGTTTATGTCCACTGATATGAATATCAAAGAGACGTTAGATATTACTAGTCCACTGCTTTTTGCAGTTGGTGTAATCTATCATATGACTGATGTTTGTTTCATCTCCTTATATTGTTGGGCATTTTGGTTTACGTAGTAATAAATGAAGCGATAGTGTAAGTTGTGTATGACAAATATCTCGAATGGTTTCATCAGTTTGTCAGTGATATTTCTTTCGGGAATGTTTTTGCTCTGATCACCTAGTCTGGGTGGAGACATCTTTTGATGAAGCTATGTGAATATTATTTTCTCTTGAAGACAGTCGTAACATATTTCTCTCCTTTTCTCCTTAAGACCAGAATAGTATAGGGTGTCTAGGCTTTATTGGATTATGCTTGTATGCAGTTTCTGTTGTATGCTGTCGTATTTCCAGACGGTGACATTCTCCGTTATACTGAGCTCAGGATATCTTATTTTGTCATGGTTGCATGGATTTTGCGTTTGGCCATTTATATAAAATCTCATGAATAGTGATTTGATGAAAACATGTGTTAGAGGTCTCTGCGTGGAATTTGAGGAATAATAATTTCTAAATATTAAACGACTCACAATCTCCACGTTTTACTAGGAGAAGGAGTGGGAAAGAAACTTTACTTACTGTAATGTTTTGTATCCCATGAGTATTTCTTTATGTTGTATGCACAGACTTCTATTCCGGAGGTTGCGGGTTCGAGTCCCGCCCAGGATGCCAGTGCGTTGGTGGCATAGGGGTTAGAACTCTCGCCGACTATGCACA